TTGAGTCCCAAATTCCATATTACATCCCTCATATACTGATCTTTAAACCAGGAGGGGGCTGCTTTTCTGGATCCCTGTGTACTGAAAACCAGCTTCATCCAGTTACAAGTTATCATGACACTGCCTATTTGTTTTGGATGGTTTATGAACCTCATGCATTACAGAACTGAAAAAGGAACATACCTTTAAATGAAAGTCTTTTCCCCTTGGTAATGACTTTGAATGCTCAAAAACATGGCTATACAGTCTATGGAGTAGTGCAACCTACAGAGCCTCACATGAATCCTATACACTGCATCTGCAGGTACACACCAGCAAAGCACCATCGACACTGCACAGTGTCCCATCAAAGTCCCATCACAGTTGTTACACCAATTCATAAATATCATCCTCCACTCATCATGCCAGAACAGTTGTAAAGCAGCTGATGTAAAAAATCTTCCCCTCTGATTTTAATTTGAAACATATTTGGTACAGGAACAAACCTGTGCTTCACTGCACTAGGATTTATTCCACTCAGTAGCCATGCCTCTTCTGTTTTTAAACAAGTGAAGCCAGCTTAGGAAAACCCAAAATCCTTTTGAACTGTTTCCCTGCCAGATCACTAGGTACTTGTAATTATCACACTGAGAAAAGAAACATGCCATAAAGCCACATACCTGTTTGGGATTCTCTTTCCAGTATAATGATGGATATATTAATCCGATAAATAAATCTTTTCTTTTGAAATAAAGAGCTGATTATTTCATTAAAGGGATAAAAAAGGAACTAGAAGTAGCCACTATTTCCCTCTGACACTGGGAAAAACAGAAAATGGGGGGAAAGACAGGAAATTTTTTGAAACTTAAAAAAAAATAGGAAGGAAGAGGAACAAAGTCTCATCCATCCACCGAAGAGCTCCAGTCTGTCATCTCTGCCACCTTTGGGGAATGGAAGTTACTGCTGTTGGATATGAAGTTGGTTATGATATGAAAATAGTCCCAGGGTGCCGCATCCTGGGATAGATTAGCACCAAAGAAAAAGAAGAGGAGAAAGAAAAAAAAGAAAAAGAGAAGAGAAAGAAGAAGAGAGAGAGAGAGGGAAAAAGGGATACCGTTAAGGAGACATAATGGGATGGGGAGTGGCTCAGGTTTCAGCTCGACAGGCAAGAGATACACTCTTAAATTGGGCTCTCACTCAGTGCTGCTGGCGATGGCAAGTGGAGACTGATGCACAGTTTTAATTGGGGGGAGACATTTCCTGAAGAGATTTTGGGGAATTAGGTGAGTTCCCCACCTCCAAAGCCCCTCCCTTGGGAGGCAATCTGCAGTAAATGCTTTGCTGCAAGTATTTTGGCCACCTCCCCTCCAGGTAGCCAGCAGCTGGGATGCGGTAGGAGGGGAGGGTTTAACAGCCTCTTGCCTTCTGCAGGTGGCTTATGGGCTACCTGGTCAGTGGGCCCACTGCACAGCAAATTCCTGGGTGAGCTCTTCTTCTCCACCTCCCGCCTCTTTACATAGAACAGAAGGGACAGAACAGAGAAAAGGGGCTCGAAAAGCCACCGTTTGAGCGAGGTAAGGTTCCCTCCACCCTAGTGCCTGTGGAAGATGGGCAGTCCTTTGTACAGGAGCCCTGCTGAGGTGGGATGAGGGTCACAGGGGACGCTGGGTGTATAGCCACAGCAGTAAGGTGATTCTGGATAGTGCCATGGCCCATGCAGCAGCATTGTGAAAGCTACCTGTACCAGAGGCCTCTCCACCCTACGTGACAGACCAAGTGGAGACATAACAGGCAGGCTCTGGGTACCAGGTGGCCAGGCTGGCAGCAGCTTCCATTCTGGCACCCCCTCAAAGTCAGTGCCTGGGGCTGGAGCCTTTAGTGATCCACCATCAGTCACACTACTCAGCTCAGGACTAGGAGGATGCAAAGGTGGCTTAAAATCAGTATGTTCCCCAGACTGAGTTTTGTGCTGCAGCATATTGTTTCTGGCTGCTAGGCTGGACACTGTTGAATTCCTTGGCCAATTGTGTTTTATTTGAGTGAAGTAAGTCAGGCCCACCCTTGTGTACATTCAGTTATGTCCTTTTCTCACACACCTCATTCTGTCTTCATACATGCTGTCTTTCAGCAACACTCTGGGAGCAAATTTACCAGTAGCCAGCCTCCAAGTCTCCCGAGTAGGCTGTTTCTGGAGCTGCTGGAGGCATGTGGTTCAAGCAGCATTCGAGAAGCAGAGCAAGGTGGGAATTCTCTATCACAACTTTTTTCTCTGGAAAGACTGGCTTTTCCATTAGATTATTTTGTGAAAATGGGAACAGCTTTCAATGGAAAATGCAGAATCTTTTCAAAAGGTGTATAGAAAATTCCAGTCTATTTTCCAGCATATTTCCGTGGACTCTTTTTGGGCCCTTTCTTTAATACGGCTAGTGTGCTTTATTAACACTACTTATACTTTAAGTATCTATAGAGCCCCCTGACCATCTTCTCAGGCGATGGGGACACCTTAACTAATGTTCTTTTTATTGTGTTAGAGGTATTGGGCCAAGTTCAACCTGGCTCACACATCTGTGTGAAGTGCTGGAACCACATGGGGAAGACACCAATGTACTAGATATGCAAGGTGCTAGTAACCTATTGCAAGGGTTGTCACCTGGGGGTACATGTACCCATAGGGGTACTTGGAAAGGTCCTAGGGGGTATGTGTGGGCAGACAGGGACAGAGCACTGCCACCCACTGCCACCTCCTAAGAGCAGGACCGGGGGGCAAGGGCAGGAGTGCCCTTTGCAGGCCACATAGGTACTGCCCAGCTGGGTGGACACAGGGGGGATGGGGAGCTTGCACATGGCAGCGCTGCTGCCATCCACCACACTGCCACACACTGCTTTCCCAAGGCCAGTTGCACATGCGGCTCTGCTGACTGCTGATGGGCAATGCGTGATTGGCCAGGTACAAGGCCTATCTTGCAGGCTAATTATGTGTCTGGGGTGGGGGGGATGGACCTATAGATGCTTCTTAGGACTTAGTGCCATAGCAAGGTGGGGGCGGTGAGTGGGGCAGCTGCTCCCCCCCCCCCCCCCCC